TGAGGAGGAAGGAGCAGCATAGACAACATGTGGTGAACTGACCACAATCCCCATCCTCTCTCCCCCTGTGCTGCTGTGTGGGGAGGAGGTAGAGAAATTGGAAGTGAAATTAAGCTTGGGAAGGATGGAGGGTGGAGGAAAGTGTTTTAAGATTTGCTTTTATTTCTCATTATCCTACTCTAAACTGATTTGTAATAACCTAATTTCCCTAAGTCAGGTCTGTTTTGCCTGTGATGGTAATTTCTCCCTGACTTTATTCCAATCCACAAGCCTTTTKTTCTGTTTTCTCTCCTTTGTCCAGCTGAAGTGGGGAGTGACAGAGTGGCTTTGGTGGGCACCTGGTGTCCATCCAGGGTCACCCCATCACACAGTGCCACCAAAGAATATTTTACCCCCTGAGCATTTCAGATGAAATTATCTCTTAGCTGAGACATAGACCCTCTTGGCACAGGATTATCTGAATATATCTGAAGGCTGGAAATGTTTATCCAGTTCCACTAGTAACCTTCATCAAAACACAGCCCAGGGATTCTTGTAGGGGGACATAGGCTTTTCCCACTTGTTGGGAATGGATATTGAGTGCCTTTGCTGATAGCTATTTTTTGTGTTACATAGGGCTAATTTGCAGTTCGGGTACAGAGTAGGCAGAGGTACARCAAGAAATGTTGAGCAGATGTGACAGAGCGATAACATCCTTAGCATAATCCAGTATCACACAGTTGTGCAGTGCGTGCTATAAATACAACAGAAATTCTCCAAGGCCCAGTTCCTTCAACAGAATTGGGCATCTCTGAATTGTCATGGATTTAGACTGCACTAAATCAGTGTAATCCTCAGGATTCATTCATTTGTGCACTCCTGTGAATGCTCCTTGGAGACTATAAGCATCATTGTGAGCAATGTTATGGGTTCTACATCATAAGGCAGTTTTTGACAGCTTTTGGATTGATGTTTTGATTTATTCACTAAATGAAGAATTTATTATTACATGCAAAACATTTTTCTTGCACTGCTATAAAACATCCTTTTCAGGTGTTTCTTTCGGCCTTGGTAACATGCTCTTACAATGTRTTTAATGGAATGAATCCTTGTTAACACCCAGCCTGCACATGTACTGAGACTTCTTAAAAATTACCTGAGAAAAGTTTTCTGAGGTTCAGTAACAATGTCAGGTTTCAGGAACTGGAGCCCTCTCATGTTCTTCCATGGTTGCTGTTGCTCTTGCCCAGAAGGAGAGGCTGGGAGGGCAAAGGCTGAGTAAAAGGTTTCCCTGAAACAGGGCAGTTCAACCGCTGCCACTCTGTGAACTGTAGCATTTGGCCTCTTGGCCCCCACATTTTTTTTTGGTGAGCAAGTCATCTTATTGTATAAGTGAAATGCATCCTATTCTTCTGTGCATGATGGATTGAAAAAGGCTTTACATGCTGGAAAGGCTGTTGAACAATATAGTTTCCACTTACAAAGCACTTTCCTTAAAAAGCTTCTCAGGGCAGCATCRTATAAAAATAGTTATACTAAAGTTGTAAACCAGCTTCTCACAAATCAGGACTTACAAAAGCTAAGGTATAAATAGAAGTGTTTTCATGGGTTTTCTCTTCTCTAGAACAGAATCTCAATCAGTGCTGGATTGTAAGAAACAAAAATGCCCTTTTCCAGACACACAGGAAAACAAGGACCTTACAGACTAATGGCACAGAATATAAATAGGTTTTCAAAACTGCTTCAAAACCATAAAAATTAGTCAAAACCATGACATTTGTATTTAAGAATGAGACACACCATATCACACAWTTTTTTTATCCAATTCTTTATTTTATTTCAAACAAACTAGCATCTCCTGCTTTACAGAAAGGTTAAAYATGTTATACTTTCATAATTATGGAATGAATTGTCTCCAGGCACTTGAGGATATGAGGATTATTTCAAAGTCTGCAGTGTATTAGAATTCCTGGAAGACAAATGCTGAAGAATGTAAAATATTACATACTCTGTATTTATATATTGTCAGTGGGCACTCTAAATGCACCTTACTGGTAATTTTCAAATTTGTTGTATTTTGTGAAGTAAGTTASAATTATTTTTCTTAGAGTTTTTGAAACAGCTAAATGTAAATCTACTCTCTGCTATTCCAGCGTTTGTGTATTCTTGATTTTACTCAGCCTGTTCCTTCTMGTGCTCTGTGCCAACCATTTCTGAATCTACCAAACCCAATGTAGTTTAATCCACAATACCAAAGAAGGAAGGTCTGTTTCTGKAAGCCAAAAATAGTTCTTACTGCAGTTAGCCTTGCAGCTGAATCAGTTCTGCTATTGCTCTTTTAGTCATGTTTGACCAGTCATGTCTGCAGAGAGCAGGAGCAAGGCTGAGCAGGGTATCTASATAATCAATCTGATGTGTGACGCTGTTCTCAGTGCAGCAGCTCCAGTATTGAAAACACGCCCCTCACAAAATGTTTTCTTACCAACAACTGAATTTAGGTAACCTTTCAGCTGGATTTTGCAGATACTGACTGTGTCTAGTCTATGCATGGGAAGTGAGGATTTCAGAAAAAGTTTACTGGCATCAAATCCTTGTGTATAATCTCCAATTACCTTGTAATCTTTTGCAAAAAATTGCTAGGGCCCATTCTGGATGGGAGTCTGCTGTCTCTCCCTTCTCAGCTTTCAGAGTAATTTATCATTGTTTGGCTGTGCTGAAAGGGAGTTCTCCAGCCATCTCACAACCTCAGAGCATCACCCACAAGCAGAGAGGCCCAGAAACGTTGCAGGAAGAACTTACATTCCATCTCACTGGTATRCAGCCTGAGACTTGGGTGACATGTGGTTAGTCTTTTTTTGTTCCAATAGTCAACAGTGCAGCAATTATTACAAAAAAAATCATGAAGACAGTATTCTGCTCCATGCTGCTGCCAGGTAATAGTTTATGCTATTTGGCACCAGACATTCTGAGTATTACTCATTAAAATATTTGGCCACTTCCTTTTCTCAGTGATCACTAYAAAAAATTAGTTCTTCCTGCTAGAGCTGCAGCAGAACAGATCTGCATGCWGAAATCCTACTCCTGTCCATAACAACAGCACCAAAATAGCTTTAATAATTAATCATGCCCTGATTAGATTACGAACTCTGAGATGGGACGGAGATTTTTGTATTATGCATCAGACAAAAGACACTGGCAATGCTTAACTAGCAGTTACCTGCTCCTGCTCCACCTGCCATTGTGGGAACACTCCGGAAACCAGAAGGGAGACAAAGGCCCAACAGAAATTGATAAAAACCTTCACCTGCCCCTGGTGTGTTCAGGAATACAGAACTGTTGAAACAGGTGCTGCTACAGCTGCAGGCAAGGGTACAGATTCGTTTATTAACTTGTCATTTGCTGGGCCATGCTCTCCATTGTACCCTGATGGAAGGGAGAATCCAAACTCCAGGCTAAGCAAGAGTTAAGCAGGGAGCTTTCTGACTGGGAGTACCAATGCAAACAGCCACTGTGGAAGGGCTGGGCAAGGAGAAGCCAGGCCTGGGGTAGGGCCCCTGTCCYATTCTCACCCCGATTAGAGTCCCTTGCAGTGTTCATGCTGCTCTGCCCTGTGTGCTGCTTATAATGTTAGGAAGATGTTTCTGTGCAAGTGGCAGTGTTTTGCTGGAATGATATTATATGCAGCTGATTTTAGGACACACAGGAGTTTAAGGCTGAGAATCACGAGTACTCAAAATTGGAAAATTACTGCCTAGTCTTAACTTCCATTAGAAATTTTGCTCAGCTRTGTTAACAAATTTTTTCCAGACCCTTTGCTCTTGTCGCATGACTCTTGGGGCCTATTTATTACAACAACAGAGGCAAAGCCTCTCAGGGGAGATAATCCATATGCAGGTCCTGGAATGAAGTAAGATACTACTTGTGTGTTTAGTTTAATGCCTTCACTGTATAAAAGTATGATTTAAAAGAAGGGACATTTAAAGCAATTTTATGGTACCAATAAGAATTGGTATCAGTCTGKCCTTAGAAATCAAGCCAGTTTTAAGGGAGGAGGGGGAAAGAACCCTGTGGATTGAAATGGGCAAACCAAGTTAAAAACAACCATTAATCAAGTTAAGTTTTGCCAGTTGTTTGGGACTCTTCATAGCACAGAACATCGCTAAACAACAGTTATTGTTAAAAAGCACTTGGGAGATGAACTGYCATTGCCTGCTGACTGAAGCACAACCAGCGGTATCTGGGCAAGAGGGYGAGAGCAAGCTGCAGTATGGCTGGTGCCCATGTGGGACACATGTACTCCCTGCCTCCCGAGGGCTCCCATGGGGCAGGTAGGGCATGGCTTGGGGACAATAGGTAGCTCAAGAGAGCCATGATAGCCAGGGCACCAGGTCAATGTCACTGTCCTCTTCCTCCACAGTCACACGGCACCAGTGGCAAAACTTGTTCCAGGAATAAGAGTGGTTCATGTGATAGATATAATGATAATTTTTAAAAGAGTGGGATCTTTTTAATAAACAACAGCTAAGTTCTGGAAGCATCAAAATGTATCACTCTGCAGCTAGGAATTTACAGATACCACAAGCCACACAGCTTATTTTTTCCCCCTTTTCTCTGCCCTTTCTAACACTGACCTTTATGAAAAACAGAAGTTAAATAAGAGAAAAATAGCTTTAATGGAACATCCAGGTTGAGAAATCAAAGTCAGACACACCAACAACAGGAAGTTTCAAAAGCAGTGTTAACAACAGCAGCTAACTGAATGGTGGCATACTTACTTTTCTTTAAGTTTTAAGCTGGATTATAGTGTGCACCTTGACTTGGTAGCTGGGGACAAAGATAGTATTGTGGCATTCGTTTAACTTGAAAGAATTTCCTAAGCATAGAAAAGTGAATTGAACTCAACCCCCTGAACAATTTCCTGACCCCTGCAATCAGTGCTACAACTTGTGTCTTTCCGGTAAAGGCATCTGAATTGTTTCCCTGTGCAAATACACTTCAGCTTGTTTATTATTTTATTCTAGGGYGCTGGAGACAGTTTTGTGGGAGCACTGGCCTTCTACCTGGCTTACTATCCCCAGTTATCCATGGAGGAAATGATCAGGAAGTCTAACTGCGTCGCATCAGTGAGCGTCCAGGCACCGGGGACACAATCTTCATATCCTTACAGGAAGGACTTGCCTCAGGACCTTTTCTAATTGATTGTCTAGCTCACTGTACCGATGTTATCTCATACCAGACAGCATTTTTCTCCTAACAGCACTGAGGGTCTCCTCTGCTGACTGGAAAGGCCAGGAGAGTCTCTTTGCTTCTTATTTCAGGAATCCTGTGTGTTCCTGTCGTGCAGCAGTAAGATGGGGTGGGGGTGGTGGGTCTTTCAAACACAGCACAGCAGGTCTCTCTGGCCCCACACAGCCCTTGGGCTTGTGGCTGTCCCACACAGTGCGCTCTACTGAACTACACCAGGTTTACAGTAAAACACCTGGAGAGTATTGGGCTCCTGGCAGTATTTTTACTTGATTTTATCAGAACTTCTSATGTAAAATGGCAGCACAAGAAGCAGAGCACTAGCTTTGAAACTGCAACTTCAGTGCTCAAACACCAAGGCCAGTGTTTGGCTCACAACAAATCCYTGTATATCCAGCCTGTGCCCACGTGAGTCAGGCATGGCACTGCACTCCATGCTGCCCCACACTGCARATAGGACAAGAGTGCTACTGAACTAGACTTTGAAAAATGTTTCCAGCCATATTGCTCTAAACACAGGCCAGCTAATTAAGGGGGAAAAAGCTTCTAAAAACATCAGGGAACTACAGCTTTCTTCATGTTTGACAAAAACCCAAGAGTAAAAAAATCCATCCTACTAACCTGGCTGAAAATAATACAGCCCTTTAAGCCATGGTAACAGCTTATCTGAAAACTCATCTAGGTTCCCAATGCTTCTTTCTTCAGAAGGAGCTGGTGCAACATTACCCTTCCAAGTAATGACACCAGCTTGTGGTCACTACTGTCGCATCTGTGGCTGGTAGGTTAGAAAAACTTGCAATACTGCCATTGAATTCCTGCTGTGGAAAATGTTAATTTTTATTGCTTTATAAAACAATAGTTSCTTTGAAGATTACAGCCTCTTTCACAATAGAAAACACAGACAATGGGATTTGCTATTTAATTTTTTTTTTAATTGAGCACTGTAAAAATAACTCAAAAGATAAATAAATGTTACTGTGATGATCTATGTCCAGACATTAAGAATTCTCTCTCTCTACATTGTTTTATTCACAATGGCCTTCAAATCACAGGAGATGGTGATCCCAGTTCATTTCCTCTCTTTTCAGCCCATGTTGCTGGATTTCTGAATCAGTGTTCACCCTGTCTTCCCCACAGACCATCCTCTTATGTATAAATCAAGTCCACTCATTGTTCACACAGAGCGGATTTTTCTCTTCTCTGTGAAGAGGACACGTTGTTTTGCTACAGAGGAAAAAAAAAAATCAGTTAAGAAGCCCAAATTGTTAAAATTCAATTCCACCAGCCCACGTTCCTTTTCTCCTGGCTGCCTTCACTGCTTAAATGAGTGTGGAGCAACTGACTGGCACAGCGCTGTTGTTAACCAACTCTTRAAGGAGTTTAGTGTGCTTTCACTTTACCACATGTAATTTTTAGCTCCTAAGATGTCCACTTTACCTCTGTGAGAATAAGTATCAGGATGCAAGTGATCGAAAACACTCAACAGCTGCTCTGTGTGACTATTCTGAGTCACAGCTGCTTGATGTAGGGACAAAAATAGGYTCTCTCTGCTTCCTACTACTCTCAGCTCCAGAGCCCAAACAACTACTGATGATGACCTGTATCTAGTCGGCCTCACAGACTGAATGAGAAGCTAACCAAGTGTCCTGTGGATMTCTTAATGAGGCACAAACTGGCCCTGTCCCCAATGTCCATCARTGCCTGATGCAGGTGTTTGCAAAGTCACTAAAGGTTAAGCATAGTGAATACATTACTAAACCMCCCAAATTACACAATGAATCAAAGAAAGCTTTATAATGCCATCTGAAAATCACCACTGTTTGTATGAACTTCTTTATATTAATTCCTTTGAAAGCTACACAAGAGCAATCCACACAATAATAAAATCTCTTCTTCCACATAAAAGTTTCGTTTTAAGAAATACAAATTCTGTTGCTGCAGTTAGGAGGTAGTGAAACTTGGGCAATCCTGCCACTACTTCACTAAAAAGCTTCATTCTGTGGATGTCACAGGTTTCTGAGAAGTACAAAACATAAGGTGAAAACACATGCCAAGTGAAAATGCTTCCTAACATATTCCTGATGTGACTTGTTATCTAGACTCAAATTTACTTCCCTTCACACATGCAACACTTTCTCACATCAATTTCTCACTTGTGTTCTACTACAGGCTACAAAGATCAGAGCTTTCTTCAGCAACCTACTACATGCTCTGAGTTCTTCTCTCACTTCACTGTCCTACAAGTTCCAAAGCTTCTGGAGGATCACTCTGCACAGTGTTCCTATTCAAGAAAATAATCCCAGAGAACTCCTATTCCCCTTCTGTGTGGAAATCAAAAGGAAAGCCACAACTCTGTCACCTTTGATGACAGCATATTGCTACTCTGGTGGTTTTTCTCACCCCTCAAAGCTCCTGTACTGTTAGCTYGGAGAATGAAAAGGTAGTAATCTAACAAGAACATAAATTTTAAGAAAAAGTAAGTTTGAACCATGTAACTACTGGCCAAGCATTGTCCACTTAGTGCTGCTTAATATATTCATTATACTCTGAAACTTTAAATAAGCCTTCTTTGCATTACCTCCACCATGCTGTTTCTAATATGGTTTGGTTTAAATTCTAAGTTTACCCCAATTAGACTTCTTAACATTAAATTCAGCTTTTTAATGTTAACTACAGAAACTTGAACCCTTAGTCACCTTTCAAAAAGCTGGCTAAGCAAAAGGCAGCTTGGCAAGTGCTATAACCTGTCCAACAAATCATTCTTAAACAGAGAAAATCTACAAGGGCCAGGGGAGCATAAAAGAATCCACTAACTGTCATCTGGACAGTGACATCATTTGTGGAAGAGGAAGAATTTGTGCCTGTTTCTTTAGAAGAAAAAGTCCATTTTGTAAGTGATAGTTAAAATTTCTGGTCTAGAGCACCACGACAGCTTAACAAAACACTTCTGTTGATGCATACTTTGTGCCTGCTTGTTGGAGGTAGCAGTCTAGCAAACCACACAAAGAAACAGAATGAAAGAACTCCTGTGTCACTTGACTTCGCCAGTGACATGTGGCATGGCTGTCATCAAAGTCTCTGATGTGTCAGGCAAGTCATTACTTTGTTTCACTGCCACAATCTGTAAAATGAGGGTAACATTTACTTCCCACTGGAATGTCATAAAGAACAGCAACCGTACAGTCATTTCAGTATGAAACATGTTATGACATATTCTGCTTAAATGGGAAGAATCCTGTTGCATTCAAATCTTTCCCCCCACCCCAGAGTGAGAGAAGCTTACACAAAGCACCCGGACTTCTTCCCCAAGCTCTTACCGATGGGATCGTATCTCAGCAAGACCAGCTTTTCCTGCAGTCGGAGTCTCCTGATGTTGAAACAGTAGCCTGTCTCCGCAGCACTTTTCATCCTCACCAGAATGTATCTAAAGTCACAAGGGATGTCTCTGTGTCAGTGCACAGGCACTCAGGGCCCACCACATCTACCAGGGCATGGGCCAATGGATAAGCTTTCAGCATACACAGTCTGGCACAATCATGTAAGACTTCATTTCAACTTTGGGGATGAGAGTATCAAAACTATATGCTTAACTTTTAACACAGACAAACACTAAACCATAAGCTCCAGCATCAATTTTAAGTAAATAATTCCTCAACAGGATACAATCCTAGAGCCAAATAGCTCCTCCAAAAACCAGTGAGGTGGAAGGAATAAAAACAGGAGAGAGAGGAAAAAAAAAAAAAGAGAATTATCAGTATACAGTAGGGTCACCATGACTTAAAAGCTAATGGCAAGAGAGGAAGGATAAAGGTAGTTCAAGATGTTCAGGCTGTAGATAACAGTGTATCACAGACTATCACTTCCTCATGCAGAGAGGAAGCCGAGCAGATAGGCAGGAACAAGAGGCATGCAAAAGGAGAAGCAGAAACCCTTGGCATCATCCATGTTGCTAGAGATATAAAGCTTGATGTTAACCCAGCTACAGGAACCTCCTTCCCCACTGGAGGGCTCTTGGTTTGCGGGGCAGGCTGGCAGCAGCTGCGGTGTCCCAGGAGCAGGAGACTGAGGAAGCTGCTCCATGCCCCCAGTCTAGAAGTACACCAAGRTCCAAGTAACTTCCCAGACACAGGGCATCTTCTGAAGCTTCAAAAGAAATGTAAAATCCTTTAACCAGTCTCTAAATTAYAAGTATTTCTCTTCCAGATCAATAAAGAGATGGATGCATCTCTGCATGTGGGCATTTAGTCCACTTTCCTGTATTTTCTAGTTTCTAATACAAAATGGTCTGTCAAAATGAACCCATTCTTCCTCATTTGTGCAGTTCTGACACGTGTAATTTTTTCAGCTCTTCCTTTTCAGCTTTGCAATCTAATTTATTATTGAGCTCAAAAGAAGAAACACATTGGGTTGCTGCAGACAACGAAGCATATTCTTGGGATTATCCCTGGCTTTTGTCCTCTTCTGTACACTCTCCTCTATTGGAGGTGCTGTGAAGCATCAGTAACCACAAAGACTCCTTTCCCTATACCTCACTCACTTCCTCAAAGCCTCTGTGCAGTTTCCCCTTGCCAGGGGAATCAGTGGCATCAGTGTGACCAGGTCTTGAAATACTCATGCACCGCATRTTTGAGGATAGGCCCATTCCAAACAATACACCTTGTTCAAAAAAATCACTCCCCAGTGAAGAAATGCAACAAGGAGCAGAGGCAAAAAACAATACTAGAAAGCTACCAGGGCAYAGGAAGAAGCCCAAGGGGGAGTGGAGGAGAATAAATAATGTAAAARCATATTCCTGAATTGTATATGGGACTGTAAAAGAACAGAGAAAGAAACATCAGGATAAAAAATAAAAGTGTGTGGCAGAAATCCCTACATTAATGTTAGTAACCCCATATAAAAAAGCTGCTTTTTCACTTTGCAGAAACCTCCTGCTTTGCTGTGTTTGTTTTTATGAACAGGTAACAGCAGAACAATGAGATGTCACACTGCTTTCTGTCAGGCACACACTTGGGAAGTGCATTCTTAATTCAAAAGCCTGACAATTGTGCAAAAATTTTGTAACAGAAGAATCTGCTCAAATGTGGCAAGTGGTTAGTACTGGCTCCGCTGTAGGCAGATTCTTAAAAAACCAAAATATAGAAAATGTACCCAAGGCCATGGATCCCAGGCCTGTGTGGTACCAAATACAATAAATACACTCACACAGAATGCAGCTTCTGGGAATGGGAAGACAGGAATGTGTTCACATAAATGTACCAGTTTAGCCTCTTGGATTTGTCTAGTTAATTTTCTTACAAATAGCATTTTGGACTGAAGTCCGTTTCTCCACATGATCTTGTCTCCTTGTGCTCACACTGTAAGACTAYTGGTGTGCTCCAAGTACATATTCCTTCCTTTCCAAATCTTAACACACTATCAGCTTATTTTACAGGTTAGAGGATTGTGACTAATTTTCTTCCAGAGCCCACTAACATCTCTTCTGAGCTGGACCACAGAACAAGGATGCCCAGAGCACTGACTGCACCCTATSCACTCCTCACATACAAACACAGCAATGTGCTAAGCCTAGGAAGTGTTCTGCACTCTGGCTACAGGAAAGCTTCACAGCACCTGGACCAAAGTCCACGCCACAAAGACCCATGCTGTACCTCAGCTCATTCTCCTCAGCTAAAAAGGTATGACAGGTGAACAATAGGGACAATATGTGGATAATTTACAGCCTCTCTCTTTAATCACAGAGCACAGAGGTGTGTTTCCCCTGTGCAGGGTGCTTTGGAAATTACAGCTGAGCTTAATGCAACAGCCCATAGGACAAAACCTGCCTTTGCTGCAAGTTCAGAACCCATGGGGGAGTTTCACGC